ATTATTTTGCACAAAGTTTCGAAGCGCATTTGACGTTGATTGCATTTTTTGTGCTCTCGAAGGACGAACATTATGTGGGCGGTTGGGGGGTTTTTTTTCAGTAGGTAGGATTACCGAGGGGTGCAGTTCCCAAATGGCTTCCAGCAGCGGAATCACAGCTGCTGGCAAGCTTGATTAAAATTTAGTGAGTCTGCGGAGCGTATTAGTGAGTATCTGTGTGATGCCAAAGCCGGGCAATTTGCCTGTTTCCTTCCATCCATGGATACCCATTAACTGGCGGATTTTTAAGGCGACAGACATTGTGGGAGTGAGCCAGTGGCGGCGGATTGGTGGCCAGAAAATCGAGCAACTCCCCCCCCCACCACCTGGCATGGTCCATCATAGCCACATATGTTCCGGCGACTGTCTCTAGTTTATGGTTTGATTTATGTGCTCCAAGGTGCGGAGGATCATAAATTCAGATAAGGAATTCTTCAAATTGCTTTTGGCACAATTGCACTGCAGCCAAGGTAGAGGGGAAAAAGGATGTGGCAAGAATTGAGAGAGTGTACCCAGGTGTGATTCGAAAAATATGTGTTTCTTGGAGTATAATTTTCAAAATTGCAGTATATATAAATTCACCTAAAATATCTAAAAGCTGTGAGTAAAAATCAGATATTGAAGGTTTATTATATTCAACCTATTTCGAATTGTCCAATTTCAATACGTTTACGTAATATTACATATTATATGGTAAACATATTATTTGAAAACATTTAAATAAAACCCCCAAGAAATTGCCAATCTTAGGAGCTATTAACATACTTTCTGACCATCTTTAAAATTCCAACTACGGTTATCATCTGGATCTCAAAGTTGGCTTGTTGTGCTTGGCCATTATGCAGACTGCAACTTTGTTTTATCAACCTCGTTCATCGAGTTCCATATCTGATCTTTCCAGCCTATTCAAAATAAGGAGCGGGTTTCTAAGCATTTGGAAAGGGGTTCTCTGCAGACCAGACACACTTTCAGGCGAAAGGATAAAAGGAGAGCAAAGCGTTAAGTTGCACAAAATGAACTTCCTTCCTGAGTTGCCTTCCTGTCGCGGCTGAATGGCCGACTTCCCCGAAAACGAAAAACCTCTCCCTCCCCCCCCCCACCGCTCATCGACCATCCCTTTTTCTATATATCGACACGCCCCCTTCTAAGCGTAACCGCCCACTTGGCTGGTAAAAGTTTTTCGGAGGCAATCCCAGACGGTCGAGAACCTCTACGCGTAAAAAGGACCAACTAAATGTGAAGCCAGGAAAACTTTAAGCTCATTTTATCCTTATACATATATAGGAGATGTCCGTCTCGACGCCATCGAACAATACGAATGGCAGGAGCGGGTTTGCGGCCCAGACAGGATTCCCCTGGCCGGGCCAACGGACCAGGCCAAAAACAACCAAACCAGTTAATTTCCAAATTGTGAACAGAACCAAACAGTGCGACAGACCCCTGGAGAGAGAGTGAGGTGCTGTATGGGTAATGGGTGAACTATGCATGAGGTGGACTTTTGGGTTGTGGAAGCGAAATGATTGCACTAGAGATGGTTTGTGCAGAAGTGGTGACCTTAAAACAAGCAATTCGAATAATATTATATAACATAGAAATTCAAATTAATTTATATCTAATCATAAAATCATATAATGTTTTATGAAATTATAACAAATCTTATAAAAATCATTTCAAATAATAACTCATCACATCATATCATTTGAAATCATAAAATAATAATATATTATAATAGAAAATCATAACAAATCGAATCATCATATACCTAATAATTAATAATACAATGTAATACACAATATAACTATATCCAACCTATCCATATTGAGTGTTTTAATGCATATTAACGTTCACCAAAACCTCTAATGATTATGTTGCTGAGGCTCACAATTTCTTAAATTCAATTAAAAAATAACGTAGTTTATGATATCTTGATGTGTTTTTTGTTAAATCTTTAAATGTAACCCCTATAAAAAACACTCCTTCGTGATGTAAAGGTCTGCTGTCCATGACCTGGTTCCCCTCACGATCCCATCTTTAGGTCCGGACAATGGTTCGGCTTGATTTGCTACGCCACAACTAGTTCAAAACTATACAACGCGGCTGCACCACAGCACCACAGCACTGTATCCACTACGCTGGTAAATGGCTCGGGAGCAGACCGGGTCTGGTTTTTGGGCTTGGAATCGCAACCGGAGGCAGCATCGGAGTCGGGAGCCAGAAGGGGGAAGAAAAACTAAGCATTGAAGCACTAAAACTGAATTGTGTAGGCCGAGAACAACAACAACAGCAGCTGGCACACCAAAACCGATGGACTGGTCAGAGCCAGAGTCCAAGTCGCTGATAGTCTGAGAGTTTGAGTTGGAGTCAGTGTGCTCTAGCGTCATCATTGCCAGAGCATAAAACTTGTTTCTGTCTAAACATGGAACCAGCTAGGGGCACCCAACTCCCCATGGCCCACAGCCACACCCACCGCAACCCCTCAATGCCTCCAGTTCAGGCCCGGTTGCAAGCCAGTCTGAAATATCTTCCGGCTTTGCAAAGGCAGCAAGAACAACAGCAACAACGACGGCAGCAGTTTGGACGCAGTTCCGTCGACGGCTTGGGCAAGTTTTCCATTGTTAAAAGGTTTCCCAAAAAAAGCGTCGCGTTGCCGCCGGTTTTCCAGCTCACGCTCCACCCGGTTGCAGCGGGCAACGGAGACAACAACAACTACACTATACAGCATTTTCGCCATTGTTTGGGTAGGGCCAGCATTAATATTGTGATTTGAAAATTACGAAATTCTCCAGTGGCGGATAAAATTGAAGTTAGCCGGGAAATATGGCGGCGGTCTCAGCGGCTGCTGATGCTGCTGTTGCTGCTGTTGCTGCTGTTGCTGCTGTTGCTGATGTTGCTGCTGCTGCTGCTGTTGCTGCTGCTGTTGCTCCTGATCTATTGTTGTTGGCATTTGCCGCTGAATCTGCGATAAATTTTATTTGAAAAAGTCTGAACAAAGGGGTTAAATGCGGGCTGAATGAGATTTGGAATGTACACCACGAAATTTATAACAAAAGACGAGTGCTTTTAATTGTTATAAATTGTTATATATTGTATTTTAATGTTTATTTTCAAATGATTATAATCATAGTTGTACAAGTATTTACAGTACATACAAAACGTTTTCGGTTGGTTGGGTCAATGGAAAAATCATGTTGTTTTAAGGTATTAATTTCGATTATATTTTGCATCAGATATTACGTTTTAAACACTTAAATAGCTGACTGTTTCTATATAAATTCGCAACAAAGAATCCTTAAAGCTTTTAAAGCAACATTTCTTTTTTCATCATTTTATCTTCCAATCAAAACATCATTAAGAAATGTATACTAACACAAACATCAGCTACATAATCACCTTTGTTTGCCAAACTATAGATAGATGTAATCCCCAACAACTCAAACAGCTCGTTAGGTAAATTAACGAAAGATTGAACTCTCTGAGGAATTCGGATGGGTAAAGTTCATTGCCATGGGATCGTTGAAAGTCTTAAATTAGGTTTATGGTCCATTAAAAGATCATCAGGCGAGAGAGCGAGCGGAGATGAATCAATTTTTGGCAATGGCTCAAATCAAATTTGCGAAATGCTCTCGAATTTGGGTTACACTGCGACCTCACCAGGTGCTAACCCAAAAGCCCACTTACCCGCTTGACTTGCTCCGGGAACCGAGAACTGGGGCCGGGGCCCGGACTCTGTACACCCAATCCCGTACTCGACAGACAGCCGGAGCAATTCATAATTAACATAATTGAGGCAACCGCCTTTGGATGTTTTTGTGCTTTGATGAGCAGAAAGCGATTCCCCAGAAGGGGGACGAGGGGCGGCGATGGATGACGACCCATAAAAATACAAGAGGCACCAAAGCGTTGGGTTGGGTAAAGGGGTAAAGCTGGCAGTAACCAAGGTACTACCTACCTACCTATCTACCTTCCTTCTACCATGGCAGGTGGTGGTGCTGGGGATGTGAAAACGAAACAATATGTAATTTCTACGCAAAAATGTTTTCTCATGGCCCGCCGCCTACCAGCAAAGGGGCGTGACACAACAGCAACAACAACAACAACAAAAACAACAAACAACAATAAGGTGAGAGGAGCAACAAGAAGAACCTGTGTACAAGAATGGCAGCAGAAAATTGACGTTGACGTACTCTCAGTATCTACAGTATGGAGTGGGGAAATGGTCTCTAGGAAAATGCTGTCAATAAAGTGATTTCAATAGAATAAAAAAATATTCAGTTCTTGCAGATTTAAATGAATAAAATCTGGAAATTCTTTGAAATGTATTTTTAGCTTTAGTTACAGGGAATGCATTTACCAAGAACATAAAGAATCTCTAAGGTGTGCGAGGTTTTTAGAATGAATTGGTTTTAGGTTGGCTTAAAGTATGACAAAATTTGTATAAGCAAAATTGTTATTTGAACTCCATTTTGGATCTATTGTTTTGAGCATTGAGAACACTTTTAATAAGAACGTGTAAATGAATAAATTATTCCTTCCTTGATTTTGGGATTAAATTTGAAACCACTCCTAGCAAAGAATATACTTTAATATATATTGTTTAAATTTAATTTCCCCAAGGAATTTTCAAAGTGCTTTTGGTAAACTGCTTATTTTATATTCGTGGCTTTTGACATCAGTGAACTTAATTGTTTTTTCGCTAAAGATTTTAGACCAGCTTCCTGATCATTTTGTAAATTTTTCGGTAATTAGATTTAAGTAGAGTTTCAAAGAAAGCTTGGTAAATGTTCGTTGATTAAATTAATGAGTGTTCCTTATTATCTCTGCGTTTATTGTTGATTTTATTACCTTATAATTAGTATGTAATTAACGGTTCCCTTCGATATAATTTGATAAAAAATTCAGAACTCGAAATGACCTTGTTCCCACTTATCCAGTGCTCCCTGTACACTTCCACGTTGACTTACCCGCTGTATTGTTGATTCTGCTGCTGTCTCCTTCACTTCACCCGTTTTCAGAAGAGAAAGAATTTCGCTGGTGACCCGGGCTTGGCCGGCTGCGACGAGCGGCGTTTATGGCCTCCACCGGCTGATGACGCTGGAATGTGGCCACCAAGGCTCTGCTGATGCCGCAGTTGCGTTCTGTTTGGTTTGGTTATGTTTTGTTTTTTTATCTTTCGTCGAACTCTTCTTGCCGTCCTCCAAATGCCGGCTTTTAACTCTTTTTTTGGCTTTTTGGTTTTGCTTTTTTACTTTGGCTTTTGCTGTGCTGACGACAAAACTGATGGCAATTTGTTGTTGTTATTTACTCTTCTTCGACTTTACACCTCGCAAAAGTGCCGTTATTCAATGACGACACACACATATACAGGTTGAGAGGAAGAGAGAGAGGGAGAACACACGGGCTACAATATATTTCAATCATTCACAATATTTTTATATTTTTGTATTTATTTGGTATTGTATTTTTCGCATTTATGCACGAATTATCTCACGGTCAACTGGTTTGTTGGTTTAATTTTTTCTTTCTCTTTTGATTATTTTTTATTGTCTCGAATTTCGAATTGATGGAAATGCAAATAAACGCGCAATAAGACGAGAACATTTTCCGGCCCAAAAAGAGGCTGAAAAGAAAATGCAAAACGGCACGCGACGCACGTACTTAATTACTGGATAAAACTCTGTGTGTGCCAGCGGCAACTACAACAACAACAAAGACTGGCAATTCAATGTCAATATGAGCCTCGACTCGCCGCCACCCACACACACACACACACACACACACGCAAGAGTCAAATGGACAAATTGAATTTCGGCTTGCAATTTACGCTTTTAATTAAATCATTAAAAAGGGGGCACAAAGATTACGATTACGCCATTTACACACACTACAGTCAATTGATGCAGGCAAGTGTAGTGTGTGTGTGTGCTTTGCGGCTAAAAAATGCAATTACAGGCAAGCCAAATGCAAACGCAATCGACGTCAAATTATATATTTGTAATTGTTTGCAATTGAACTGCTTTTAAAATTGAATAGCAATTAAATTGTTGCTTCGCAAACAAGCAAACAAACAACAACAAACGCACACAGTTGGCCGAAAAAAAAACCAGACGGACCACTACACACAGGCACAAAAACGTTCACACACACATGGTCGCTGCTGCGCCGACGCGACCGCGCTGCAGAACCTCTCTTCCTCTTCCTCCAGCCGCTTTTTTTCGTTCTCTTCAACCTGTGTGTTGTTTACCTGTGGCTAGGCTAGCTGTTGCTATTTAAGCATAATTTCATTCACACACTGCCTTTGTTGGCACGGAATTAGCCGCGGCGGGCTGTAATTCTGTAATTAAACAATGCGGTATTTCGAAACACACGCTGAGAACGCGCAGCGTACACACAAACACAGACGAAAGCGCGCCCTTCCCGCACACACACACGCAAACAATGCGGCAATCCGCCGACGCAACTTTGACCCGCCGACACTAACTTTGACCCGGCGACACGGCGACGTCCGCACACCACAATCGAAGAAAAAAACTGAACCGTTAGAGCTCTGAAGCACTTGTTGCGTTCCCAGCTGTTTTGACCAGGGCTGTGGAGTATATATTACAATATATCGATATTTTTAAATATCGATATTAGGATATATATTTGTTTATTATATTGTGTTATTATTAATGTAGGTATCAATGTTTTGAAAAGCTTGCTGTAATTTAAAATTAAACATCTTACACCTTTAGATAACCTTTAATACGTTTATAGATGCATGGGGAAGAATTCTATTGTTTTTATGCTTAGTGTGTTGTTAGCAAATTTTTGCTTCGAAGAAAGCTGATGCTGGGTGGCAGCACTGGTGGTAAAGCACTTGTTGCGTTTCCAGCTGTTTTGAACGGTGCTGCCAGTAATAACGTTTTCGCGGCATCTGGACAAACTAAAACGCCTAAAACCATCATGACCGCGCAGTCTGGCAATGCTTATGCAAGCAGAAAGCGCCACCTGAACGACTGTATACGGAACTATTAAATATAAGGTTTGTGTCTTTGAAAAAAGGTTTTTATTAATTCTTATATTATATTATTCTTATACTTAGTTCAAATTTTTAAATTGAGAAGGTTTAAAAGTACAGCGAAGCCGTTTCCAAGAAACTGATACGATCGTATCCAAACAATTTATGTTTTTTTATTTAAAAATAAAAACACAAAGAATATGATAACATAATCAAATTCTTTTCAATCATATTACGAGGTTACTTTTCTAATATACACTCCAGATACCAAGTTCTCTTCAATTTAAATTTTATTTCATTCCTGCAGGACATTATCAAAGCTTCTTAAGGAATTTGTTACATTCTAACTAATATTGTATTATTATATCTTAAATTGATATAAAGCCTTAAAACCAAGGCAAAGTATAAATCAGGAATATTGAAAAATTTTTATTGCGAAGTTAATTTTCTGTATATATTTTTTGGCCTACAAGATAAAAAAGAAAATAAAACAAAGCCAACTACAGGCTTTAAGTAATCATTATCATATAATATCAATAAACAAAGCTATATTTAGTATCCAGAAGCTTAACCGTCCCGTTTGCTAGTTAATTATTTAATTATTTTGAATCGAATACCTTCCAAATCCTAAATAACGCTTAAATTTTGCTTAAGCGCCTCTCAAAAGCCGCCTAAATATGGCCAAATAATGCCAAAATACAATAATATCTCTATAATATCTGGAATTTTCTAATATCGTTGAAATCTCGATTTTTCGAGTCCGCAAATCTCAAATTAAATACTTACCAAAGGACTCCCAAAAAAGAGCCCACAAATTTACTTTGCTTAACATATTTTTAATTTAAATAATATTTCAACAATGTCTTCTTTAAGTTATTAAAACAAAATAATGACTTTAAATATACCTTAAACTATTTTTAATAAAATAAAATGCAACTGAATTTTTTGGTTGTATTTTTAAAGCATTTGTTTAATTTAATTTTTTTTCCATCCAATGTCCTTATTAGTTCGTTCTAAAAATGTATTAAATAATTATCTGAAGTCAATAGTGCTTAAACCGATAAGAATGTCGGTAATGGGGGAATTATGAACTTTTAATACAAATCATACTTATAAAAAATTTTTCAAACTTAATTTCGGCTTAACGTAAAGAATGACAGTTTTTGAATAACAAAACAGTCATAAATTCCTTCATAACCTAAATTCATAAATAAATTCCCAAATAACTCTGTGTGTTTTAATTTGAATTTGTTTACAGGTGCACCCCAAGTAGATTAGGATGCTGTGGGGCGTAATACCGGCGGAAGGAACTCGAGTTTCATTGGCCCCCAAAACATCTTTCAGTGAACCCATCTGAAGGCGATATCAACGCCCCGGGATTATTAGCTTATTCGGATTCAGTTTCCTTGAGTGCTCAGCTTCCACACGCCATAAATCAAATGCTCGAAAATGCCGCCGCTCGGATTCCCAATGCAATTACTCAATTAATTTGAATATAATTGTCACAATTTTCCACTTGAAAGCCGCACAAAGCCAACGGGCCAATGGAAATAAAACAGAGACACCCAAGAACATGGCCTCGATGGGGGGAGAGAGTAATGTAAAACGAGATCGCAATTTTATGCGCACATCAAATAAAAATGTATATTCAGCGACGGGACGGGATCTCTCGATGGATTTTCCGATAAAATGTCAAAGGCTTTAATGGAGGAACTGTCGGAGTCACTCTGCCACTTGACAGCCCGGGATCTGGAACAATGACAGCGGGAGTGAAAGGCGAAAAAGGCAGAGTGAAATTAGGCGTACAATTGAGATGTGGACTAGGCGATACCCAAAGATATTCAATTAAAAATGAAATGTAAAGAAAATTCAAAATACAATGTCTCCTTAAGAACTAAATAATGGCTAATTTAAATTTTATTTGAATAGAACTCAAAACTTAAGTTTGGTTGTAAATTTACATAATTTCATAGTTTTAAATGTAATTTGTATTGGAACACACTGGACCTTGGGAAGAGGGGTTCCTATTACAGATAAATAATGTAATCTTAGCGTTTTAATTATACTGAATACAAACATTATTATAAAATGTATTAAGGAAAGTATTACTCAAGTTTTAAGAATAAAATATGAAAATAGTAAATATTATTAATTCCTAAAATGTAATATACATTTTAAGAATAATACTATTCTGTATATTTCAATACTCAACGCATGCCCCTTTCTGGGAATTTAATTATCCTTAACTATTTATACTTTAAAATAAAAAATTAATACATTTTATATAATTCCAGATCAAAAACATATATCTAGCTAATTGCTTACTTCTAAAAACCAATATAACGATTCTAGTATCTCCAATTTATCTCCAATTACGGGGTACAATAATGCAATTGTGGGGGCCGCTTTATTCAAAGGCTGCGGAAATGGGAAACCGTTTTTCCCCAAATAAAAAACTGAAAAAAACCACCAATAGTTACACTTGCAGCCTTTCTTCCATAGTGTTTATTTATGGTTGTTAATAAATCTTAATTTGCTTACCTTCAGTTCGCTTTGGCGGCTCACCGCATTGAGGAAATGCAAATGAGAGCAGTGAAAGCAATTGGGGCCCGGGAATCAAGATCCGGAGAAAGAGTGACGGAGAAAGTCAACAACGTAAGGGTAAGGAGCACAGCTGCGACAGCGGCTCTGAGAGCCTTTGATCCTCTGACGGAACATGAATTAAACGGCGCTACAACAGTGAACTCTATCCCGGCCTATCGCCGATCCTGCGTGTGATATATGGGATTGACAAATTCTCCACTTGAGGAGAGCCCCGACGGTCTAGACTCCGGCTCCAGGCTGGGCAGAGCTAGGGAGGAGCACACGTCGCCGCAACATTGCCGCCGACATTGAAAGATGAGAATGTAATTGTTTATGGGTCGCCGATATTCATATTCCGTCTGGTCAGTGTGGTCCATTAGGTAATGTTTGGTGGCACTTGACATGCATTATCCCTTGGCTGTGTGGGCGTTTTGTTGTTGCCACTCCACAGGCAACTCCCTTTTTGGGAAAAATCCTACTGCTTAGGCTTTTAAAAAATGATTGTTTTAATGAAACATTTAATGATTTAAACTAAATAATAAAAGGCGTAACATAATGACAAAGATCACATATAAAAAAAATTGTAAAAATTAAACAGCAGACTCGAGTACACTAAGTACCTTTAAATCAAGTCCAGAAGGAGCATTTTTATATAAACAAGGATCGCTCACAAGCAGATACATTTTAAATTTAAAATTTAAAAATACCACAATTGTTTCCATATTAAATTGTACAAATTCTTATGAAATCATAGCTCAAGTAACAAAAAGAAATCCTGAAAATGGAAATGAAAGATAAAGATTAAGGTAAAGATACTTATTGCCATCAGTAGTTCTTTAAACTTTTTAATAAAAATAATATCCTTGTTGTTCCCTATAAATCTTACTAAAAATATAATCATAGTTTTCTCTACAATGTTATTGTTTTAACCTTTTGCTTATTAAATCAACTATTTGTACAAAAGATTCAGTTTCCTAATTAAGTAGTATTATTTTCTTAAAATCCCATACAAAATTAAGGCACTATCTGTCGGATTTCCTTCGTGTTTACCATACATTTTGAGCTAATGTGCGATCCCCGCGTGATTGACACTTAACCCAACGAAGAAGGGAGGAGTCTTCACCCCAGATTTAACCCCCAAAGAAGCTTCGTCTGGTCTGAGATGTGGAAACTCAAACTGAAAGTGTGATCAGCTGCACTTGTTGGTCTGCGGCAGGGCAACTTCAACCTCAACCTCAACCTCATCCTCCCATTTGCAGTCACCCCGCGGCACTGGCAATGGCATGTGTTTGTGGAGTAATTGATATGCCACAACACCAATGGAACCACCAATATCATGGTATATCCCCCCAATGAAATATTAGCCTTTTGCCCCGCGGCCTGTCATAAAATGGCCTGAGAGCAGGAGACGGAAGGGGAGTTTTTTGATGTGCCCTGCATTTTGTATCTCAACGAAAGTATCTGTATCTCAGTGTGTGGATTCAGGAAAACATTTTACAGTTGCATTGCCATTGCCCTGCCACTTAAACGTTTCATAAATGCAACCTTTGTAATGTCTGCCGCCAACGCACTTCCCTTCCCTTACCCTTTATCTATCCCCATGCGAAAAGCAGCCAAAGGGAAAAATATTTCCAGCACTAAAAACGGAAATCGTTGTGTGGTTTTCCTTCGGTTTTTGGAATATTCGTTTTTCATAAAACTGATCGCTTGCCCCGATAAAATTGATTTATGCGGCGATCGGTGGCAATTATACGCAGATGCAGTGCCTAATGGATCGGTGGCCGATCGAAAGCTGTTCATAAAGATATAAATACGAGAGGCTGGATGGCAAGGAGGCATGGATACGTAAGAGTTGTGAGTAAGGAGGTTGAGAAAAGTGATGGTTTTCATGATTAATTAAGTCCTGACTTTGGCTTACGGGAGAAAATGAGAAGTTTGGATATTTAAAAGATATTTGACATTTGGATAAAGAAAGTAATAGTTGATAACCAATCCCACAACTCAACTTGTTTTTCGTCTTAAACTTTATTTATTGTCCAACATTTACATAAAACAAGGTACTATTAGCTATGAGGCATTTTCCTTAGATTACAACATAGTTTCTGCTTGAAATCTCAATAAATTAAAGACTCTAATTGTCAAACGCATCTAAAGCTATTGCATGTGCTGCATCTGATGATGCTGAGACTGCTGCTGTTGCTGATGCTGGGCTTGTTGCATGGTTGGTGGCCACATTACATGATTGGGAATTGGAGGTGGCAACGATGTTGGCGAGTGCAATGGCTCCGATTTCAGCTTCAGATGTTTGGCAATGCCCTCGCAGTCGATGTCCCCACGCTTGGACTTGTAGCGGCGATTCTGGAACCAAATCTTCACCTGCGTAGCTGAAAGATTCAGCTTCTGGGCAATGATTTCACGCTCCGCACCCGTCAGATACTTTTTCAGCCTGAAACGGCACTCTAGCTCCAGGACCTGAGCCTGCGAAAAGAGCACTCGGGGCTTGCGTTTCATTCGTGGCTTCGAGGATCCATGATTGCCGGAGGAGCCATGATTACTGCTGCCATTTGCACTGTTCTTGCGCAGCTCAGATCGCGAGGAGGTCACCTGACTGTTGTCCTCTAAGGGGAGAAAATGGAAAGAATAGGAAAAGTTGTAAATTTTAAAAAATATGCCATGAAATTTTAAAGTTAAGGATATGTTTTAGGTAGTAAAAAACATCTATGAGAATGTAAAATCCATTCCATAGGAAGGGTTTTAAGTAGGAAAAAGAAAATGGTTTTATAATATTTGAAATTATTTTTTAAATTGCTATTATTAAAAGGCTAAAATATTAAAATAATAATTAAATGGGTATCTAAATATTTGCAATTATATTTTTCATGATTGACAACAATATATACTTTACGAAAACCTTTTAAAAAGAGTATCTTTTTGACAAGACATTAGAAATGCTTTAATTGCATAGAATTCTTTATATTTTTTTGAATATTACACGATATCAAAAATCAAATGAATGCCTTAAATTCTATAAATCATATGAAATATTAATCTTTGTTATGATTTAGGATTGGAATCTAAGGGATTCTTGTGGGACCAGGAACTGCCTTTGATTTTCTCATATATCTCCGTAACCCTTTTCCTTTTTCCTGTTACTTTATATACAATCATTAAGTACTTAATATATATTTCCCTATTCGAAAGAATGTAAATAGTTTATATTATAGTTAATATACTCACTTCTCTTGGCACCTTCATCCGCATTGTGGATATTCCTTAGCGACGCCGAATTGCTGACCGTCTCCATAAGTCGCTGGATGCCGCTGGCATTCCCGCCCAGCTTCTGCGCCGGCGCCTGAAGGCTCTCCACCTCCGCCGAGCTATTGAGGTCCAGAGTGGGCGATGGTGTCACATATGGCGTGGGAATATACTCGCTTTTGATGGCCACCGTGGAGGGTGTGGCTCCACCGTAAACATCACCCGTTCCGGCATAATTGTAATTATAGGTGGCGGGACTTTGGTACGCCGTTGCCGAGGCTCCGGCATAAAACTGGGAGGCGGACATGTTGTAGGCCGACGCCGAGTGCTGGAAGCTCTGGTGTGGATGGCCATGGTGGTGCTGGAACATGTGAGCGGGCATTCCATAGTCCTGATAACTGCCATACAGCTGGTGGGGCGGGGGCGGCAGGAGCGGCGATAGGGACGAGGAGTTATTGGTGCCATCGTCCAAGTGCTGTGGATGCAGGAGCTGCTGCGATGCATCAGTTTCCTGCTGCTGGTGATGCTGCTGCTGATGGTGGCTGTGATACTGATGCGGATGCGGATGTGGATGCTGGTGAAGATGCTGTTGATACTCGCCGGCGCCATAGAGCGCCGAGGCAGCCGTTGCGCTACGGGAAAGCAGAAAAAAATGGGCAAAAAGGGAAAGGTTAAAAACGGAGGATATATGGTACATGGCCGCCATGTGTTGCATCACGCCGGACACAGCGACGGCTCCCCGGGACCGTAAGACCTTTCCCTTGGCCACTTCCTGCTGGCGCGACAGGATCCCTCTCTTGGTGACATCATTTCATGGCTCATCAGGAAATTAAGGACGCCCCAGTGCGTTAAACGGCGGACACACATGCGAATCACACATGTTGGCCAGCCCAAAAAGGGATCGAACGGGCGGGCGATCTACCTCCGGAGTCCGAACCGGACTGCCTGCCTGCCGGACTCTTGTTTTTCTTATTGTTAACCGTGTGTCTTCGCATCATTGTCTTTGGCCTCTTGTACAAATAACGATGATTTGTCAAAGCCTCGGGCTCGAGGCTCTTCCTTCGGTCCCAGTCCCCTATTCGATCCTATTTGCAATTCATGCTTTCTTGGTGTTTTCATAGGATTTCTTCTGCCGCGCGTCTCGACGGAAGGTTATCATAATATTATCTTTCGTTGGAAAATTGGTAGAAATTAATTTTCCTATGGAGCCTTATTAAATAAAAATAAATAAAATGTGACTGGGAATGGGAATTTGTCTGTCTTTGAGAAGAACTCGCTGACAGGTAGATATGGGTAGATACTCCTACATATGCATACTTTTGTATATTCAAGTAAATATATAAGAAGATGATGTGTAATAATTTAATAAGAGTTAAATAACAGCTGGCTGTTTTTGAGTTATCAAAAATATTCTGAAGGCTGGTCAATTTTATACAAAATCATTTAGACGTAAGCGAATTAAACGAGGGAAATTAAGTTTTTATTGTTCTCTAAAGATCTAATATCTTAAACTAAGAAACATTATAAAAAAAAACAAATTTAAGAACTTTCTGGAAATAAAATTGGACTTGTAAATTTATTGAATCGCATCTAAAAAAGGGACTTCATTCTGAAATAAATACTAGCATCCTAGTTTTAAATTAATTTGACGTACTAGAGTCAACACAATCATTTTTGGAATATTATAATATTAAATTAAATTATGTTTCGAATCTAAAATGTATTTTTTTATAACATACTTAAGATTCTTATCAATCGCTTTTATAAAAGTAGAAAGGATAAATAATATTAATTATGCACAATATATTATGGAATATACATATGTGCCTATATACATATATATGAAAAGTCAATATAGGAAAGCATCTTCATGTAATTTCCTTTTGTTTTCATAAGAATACATTAACAATTATTATTAAGATATAAATGGAATCTAATGTATTAATACATCCTTTTCTATCTATCCAGTATTCCCATATGATCTTCTTCTATATAATTCCTTTAACTAATTTAAAGTGAAAGCTTACCTATCGAGATGTCCGTAAGCACCTTCGTAGGCCTCCGTCTGATTAACCATATTCAGTATATCCTTGACTGAGAACGGTGTGGAGTTCAGGGCATCCGCATTTGTCAAGCTTCCCGGACTTGGGGACTGATTGTAGTCGTAGTAGCCACTCGATTGTGGCACCTGAGCCTGCTGCTGGTGATGCTGCAACATCCTTGGTATCCAATCACGGCTGCTTTACCACTTGAGAAGCACTTTAAACTCAAATAAATACTGCAATTTGCCAAATCGCACTTGAACTTGCGACACTTGAATGTGAATAAATATCTAGTATCTGGTGGTTGTGATATATATATTGGAATATATGTATATACAATCCAATTTGGATCAAGTCGCAGTCCGTAAACCCGTAAATGCAACCGTATCCGGATCCCGAAAGTGCCGTTCCGATGCGCACTCGACCGCGTCTGCAATTTGTCAGTTCGATTTTGGTACTGAACGACTACCGCTATCACCCCAAAGATTGCCTGATGCTGATGTCTCAGTGTGTAAGTGCAGCTATGTGAGGAAAATGGCCGCCACGGAGCCAATCACAGCAGAGCATCTGCATGCTACTCACTCTTACACTCTCTTTTCCTATTTTCCTCTCTGTCTCTAGTTGGATTAGAGATGTGTGAGAGTTCGCATTAAAGGAAATATTAATATTAATCTATTTAAAATTTCAAAAAATTCTTTAAGAAATTATAATTTCTCTGAAAAATGTAGAAACCTAAGAAACAAGTTTGTCTTGACATTTGGAACCGTTTTTTATAATGTATTTAAAGATTAATTAAATAACGAATTCTGAATATTAATCAACTTAATTAGTTCCATATCTTATTTGTTCTCAAAATAAAGTTTTTAAGCTCAATTGGTATTCTAAGGTCTATAAAACTTATTCCTCCCTTAAATTAAATATTTAAAGATGCTAAGCACAATTTTTCTCCTTTTACTAATGTGAAACTAAATCTTTTAACATCGGTAAATTGAATTAAAATATTTCTAGATAAGTTTTTTTAACAATTTGTTTGAATAATCATTCCATTACCAACACGATACCATCTCTAGGACTATCCTTTTTGCTTTGTATACATACTTCTGCATTTGTATGGAGGTCAAAAACACACATTCAGTTGGTACCTTATGGTATATGTACTATCAGATACGATGGTGACTCCTACACAGTCCCTGCAACGTCACAAATTCCCCTTGTTGTTATTATATTGTTTGTTCGCAGCCACTTTATGCTGATTTTGTTTCGCTACTTGAGCTTGAGTATCAGTATTTATTATTGTAAAGTCCTTAAGTTTCATGAGTTGATTCTGCATGTCAAGTGGCGCCATTCAAGTGCAGATTTTCGCACATTTAATTTAAAACTGCAATCGAGCAGTTTCAAGAGACATTGCCAGGACAAAAGTATATTTATATGTGCTGAAACTAGTATCTTTGGTTAATATAGGTTTTTGCAAATCACATTGTCAAATTATGACCTTTTTTATACATTATTTATATTAATTCTGACATGGCGAAATGCACTGGATAATGGTGCAAAGATATCTGATTTATCGATCTGATCTGATATCTCGTTCTTTTTCCTGGCCTCTTGACCTAATCTCCTAGTCCTTCAGCTGCTTATTTATCTCCTCCATCATCTGTTTTCTCCTGTTTCCTTCTTTCCCTTCCGTTTTTTCTACTCCACTTTCTTCTCTTTCTTCGGCGACACAACTTTGGGGCTTCCAGCTTTTAAGAGTCCTGGATTGCACCGTCTCCACCCTCTCATGCAAGATCTTGGGTACAAATCGCATTATAGTGGGAGGCTGGAAACGTGGCGTATGATCGAGTGAACCTAGAGTCTCATGTCTCACCGAGTAATCGTTGCACAAGATGCACAGTCGAACGGGCATTTTAGAGCTCACGGACTGCCCCGTACCAAAGGCCACGGCCTCATAGATAACATCGAGTGCACTCGCCTCATCCAAGTCCATGCACCATCGTGTCTCCAGCACAGACATTGCACTCATCATGCCGGAACCAATAGCGGTAAATGGGACAGTATCCGAGGAGCCATCGAACCTTGTTGAATATATTGACGTCCCATATTTATCCACTCCTGCGATCAAGAGGTTTACATTGATGCTACCGATTTGGCTATGGAGCATTTGCTTTATCATCTGGTTGGCACAGCGCACAGGAATCCGGCGGTAATTGGTTGTCATGTAGTGCATCTCCAGCTTCGATTGGGTCACATTCACCAAGGCACATATGTCCTGGCCAACTCCGGTTACTGCAGCGCTGTAATTCACCAAGGAAAATGTTGATCAATTGAGAAAATGTACATATTTAATACAAAAATTATTAAATTATTTAAAAAATTATATGCAGGCAAAACAACATAATAAGAAAAGCTGGAACTAGGTCAACCTAAATCCTTCATATTTCCTAATATAAGAAAAAGTATTATAATATATAGAGAAAATTAAAAAAAAAAAAGCTTATTATTTTTAAAGAAAGTGCAGAAAGTGCTTTTAAATATTAGTTTTATTGATAAGCAAATAAAAAAATCCTATTTTACTGATATTCTAACAGATTTTTATCAAATTTAAATGCATGGGTAGCCTTTGTGAATACTCACTATATATTATCATGAAGTCGATAGATATTTGAAATGTTATTTCCAATAGTAGGTCGTATATCATATGCAATCATCACTCCATTTTTAAATTTAATTCCCACAATAATCGTGTTAGTCACGATTATTTTAGGCGTCTGAACCTTCCTATAAAATAATATGGAAAGCGCAGTATTAGTACAAGTTTTGTTTATACAATTAAATATAGGAATTTATAATGAAGCATTAACCTTTATATTACGTTCGGTATATGTATGTACAAATTATATTATTTTGTAATATTTTTAATGGGCCTTACCTTACACACATTTGCGACATTTCTGAAACAATACCCTCCATTATAAAACTAGAAATATTTATTTCGGGAGTGAGAAACTTGTGACTAGCTGCCGATTCGTTTTAAATAATAAAATCTAAACGTAATAATAACTATACAGCCGGCCTACTTTACCTTTCCTTAAAAATTCAAGGTTGGTATGGTATGTTTTTTAATAAAAAACTAAGAACTGACAAAAATGTCGCATCATACATTATTGAAAATGGAAAAGCTATTCGTACTTTAAAAACTTTTAATTTTTTAACTGTCTTCATAGCATGATTTCACACTTTGATCAGGAGCAGTCAGGAGCAGTCAAGTTTCAAACCCATTTTAGCAAAGTTCCAACCCTTTCAAAATTATCCACCTCATCCCTGTTACATTTATCGATTCTTTTTAAAATAATTTAAAACAAATTAAAACTGCGTCAACACACATATATATATCGCATATCGATACAATCGGTAGCATTTCCCGCTCTCCATGCCTTCGGTCACACTTTTGTCAATTCATTCGCTCTTTCTGTCTGAATGACAACAGATCTGTTAACGAATTTTACTTCCTACATGACAATTCTACGTGTACCTGTAAACAAGCAAAATGTTATCTGAACGTGAACAATTTTAAATAACAGCTGCGAGGTTCTGGATGACCAGAAACAAAATATAACAAATTTCAAATACTTTTGTATTTTGGTATAGAAATTTGGTGTAGAAATTTCTACCTCAAAAGTGAGAATTCGACCCCACGTATCTGTAAACGTGTAAAACGGTTTAACATACGTGTAAATTGTGAAATGTTAAACAACATCTTCAAAATTCAACGTGACCAAACAAAGAATATACAAAAACACGAAATAGCGCATCTGGCCAACCAAAAATATTGATACATTTTCATCAAATACATGCACACTTTTTTTTCGCGGTGAAACGAATCGGACGCAGAATTTGCGTCGCTTGAATTAAAATAACTTTAACAAAGTAATTAATTTGTTTAGTGGAATTATAGAGTCAAGAGGTGAGTTCTTCAAACTGCAGTGATGGTGTTTGCACGTATTTGTTTAGTTTTCGGATAATCTGTGAAAAGAAGACACCTAGTTTGCACGCACACACGCACACATAGAGACGCGTGAAAAATTTCCCAGTTTTTCGGCTGCGTTGCATTTACTGGGCGATTGTTTTTTAGTCGTCGATGGTGGCTGTAAACAATATTTTAGTTAGCCAAACTTGCAAAGTACTAACCAACTAATGCATTGGTTCCCTTGCGCTTGCAGCCCACACGCATAGATACAGAAAAGTATTGATTTTCGTCCAAGATGGCGGACGACGAGCAATTCAGCTTGTGCTGGAACAATTTCAACACAAACTTGTCGGCTGGCTTTCACGAGTCGCTATGTCGCGGGGATCTGGTGGACGTTTCCCTGGCGGCCGAGGGCCACATAGTGAAGGCCCATCGACTGGTGTTATCTGTGTGCTCACCATTTTTCCGGAAGATGTTCACCCAGATGCCGTCGAACACCCATGCAATCGGTGAGTTTTCTGAACTTTACGCCGAGGGGCATGTTTCAATATTTTCCATCTTTCGCAGTATTTTTGAACAATGTTAGCCACTCTGCGCTTAAGGACCTGATCCAGTTTATGTACTGTGGCGAGGTTAATGTGAAGCAGGACGCCTTGCCCGCTTTTATTAGCACCGCTGAATCGCTGCAAATCAAGGGGCTGACGGATGTAAGTACATACATAAGTACATGTATCAAATTGAGAACAACAACAAATACCAAGCGCCTTTCGCGCGCAATACATACATGCACACACACGCATTCAGCAGCGTCTGTATAAGAGCATGGTGACTTGACTGTACCGAGAAATTTCTCGCAACCCAAATGCCAAACGGCAGCTGCGTTGGAAAGAGAAGGCCATAGACTCGCTTGCTTTCAGAGTGTATGTTTGTGGTGTGCGCTGCTTACAATATATTTGTCTCGCTCTTCCCGACATGGCAACCGTCGACTGGGTGGTTGTTTGGCATCGAATTGTCGGTACCATAGCATAAATAATTATTAGTACCTGAAATTGAAAACTAATTACAAATTAAAATGGCAGGAGTACAAACTAGAGAAATGCCTAAATTACTTTAAAAATTATATTTTTAAAGGTTTTTTTGTCTCAAAACTAGAAAACATCGAAAATTTGTTTAATAATGTCTTTAGTTCAACATGTTTACTTCTTTTTTTAATGTGAAAAAGCCTAAATTTCAAGGGATTCTTATGTGAAGCCCTCTTAATTCACAATTTGGTAGTTAATCAATCGATATTCATTTATGCAGAGTTTCCAATCTATTATTTTTATAGAAAACCCACATATTACATATAAAAAATGGATTTTGTTATGCTTATCGTATGGACTAATAACAAAGAAATAAATTACATTTTTTCAGAACGATCCTGCGCCGCAACCGCCACAGGAGCCCAGCCCACCACCACCAGCAGCACCTAATGTACAACAGCAAGCACCGGCACAGCGGGTGCAGCGACAGCAGCCGCGTGCCTCCGCCCGCTACAAGATCGAGACTGTGGACGATGGCCTGGGAGACGATAACAAGGGAACAACCCAGATTGTCATCCAGACCACGGCCGCACCCCAAGCTACCATCGTACAACAGCCGCAGCAGCAGCAACAACAGCAGCAGCAGGCTTCGCAGATCCAGACGCAGCAGCAACTGCAGACTGGGACTACGACGACGGCAACGCTGGTGTCGACAAACAAACGATCCGCTCCGCGCTCCAGTTTGACAACTTCCAGCAGTAGCGGCGTTAAGCGCTCGAAAACATCTGTCTCCGCCAACGTAATTGACCCCCTAGACTCGGCCACGGAAACTGGAACCACGACGACGACGACACAGCAGCTGGTACCGCAGCAAATTACCGTGCAAACGACTGTGGTCTCCGCGGCTGAATCCAAGCTACACCAGCAGCAGCAGGTTCGCCAGCAGCAGCAGGAGGAAGCTGAATATATTGATCTCCCAATGGAATTGCCCACGAAATCTGAACCGGACTACTCTGAGGACCATGGCGATGCAGCTGGCGATGGCGAAGGAACATACGTTGAGGACGATGCCTATGGCGATATGCGCTATGACGACAGTTATTTCACTGAGAACGAGGATGCTGGCAATCAGTCTGCGGCGAATACGAGTGGCGGCGGAGTGACGGCCACCACATCCAAGGCGGTGGTCAAGCAAAACTACAGTGACTCTTCGTTTGTCGACACCAGCGCGGATCAAGGCAACACAGAGGCTCAAGGTTGGTTGAATTTCTATCATAAACATGGCTCTCTGCCAATAGTCATAAGTAGTCCTAAGCTAAGGATGTGTTTCCCATTTGCGAAGTAGTCGAAATCTTATTCATGAGCATCCCAATGACAAAATGCGCCACATTTAATTGTATTTGAAATATGTACTATACGATTAGCGACAATCTCTTTGCAAAAGAAACATATTCTTTAAAAGCCCGTTAAGTTTGTTTAAATTTGCCATAGAGACAAATTTAAGCATCCCTTTGGTGGCCCTTAATTTTTAGATAGTTAAGCAAACCAGTGTTCTATTTAAAACGCAAAAGAACATTTGGCCGATCGGCTGTTTTAGGCAAATTATTTAAATGCCAACATGCTGTATCCCGCGAATTTAAAAAGTAGTGTTTAAAGGTGAGTAGAGTGTTGCATTTTTATGAGGCGGACAAGACGAATCCTGAAGCTGTACCTGAGAGTATTCGAGTGCTGTAAATATCCAAGGTAATAAATTAGTTGTAAAATTCTTATAAATATTTTGAATTCCAGGTACTTATACAGTGGTGTGGCCTTTGCCGGCTATGAAATCAAATCAAACATTCAGAGATTATCTGATTTTCTTCACTTTTTTTGCTTAAAAAAATTTACGAAGACCATTTAGCCTGGTATGCATATTTATTTTTTTGTTTATAAATATATTTATCCCTTTTAAAGATGTTGCCTAGAGATCTGTTGGAGCAACGTAAAAGCTTGCCGATTCAGTTTTCTAGCAACGGCATTTATTGCCGAGTCTTTGGTACAATTTTACAAGGGAATCGTATATTAATATTTATTGGGGGTACATGTGATGGAAATATTCCTTACTTGATAGGTACTTAAATTAGCCGTAGGTTTTTGTGTGGGGGTCCAAATAAAAATGTATATCTTGATTCTATGGGTACCCAGTTTTGATTTCAAAGAACGTGTGTATATTAACAGCTATAAAAACAATATTTTTGATTAGATGGGTACCCAATTTTGTTAACGAAAGTAACCATAGATTATGTGGGGGTCAATATAAAATTAAAATTAAATTTTTTATTCAAAGAAAGTTTCCATATATATTAACTATTAAAAACGACAAATATACACTTTTGTTTATAGCGAAAGTAGCGATAAATATTACAGAAAAGTTTAGAATTTGGAAAGAAAAATAAAGATTATTTTTCTGTTTTTACATATGCCAGTCTTAAATTTAAAGATCTTGTCTGTAAAGTTTTGAATTTAATTTTTAGTATAGAATAGTTTAATCGCTAACTAGATTTTCTATTAATTACCTTTGTGTTGCAAGTAATTTATATAAGTACGTCAATAATAAGGTACAAATTAAAGTACAGTTTCATATGATATTCTTTCCAAACTTTAAATTTAAATTAACATTACTTTTAGGATTAGTACGAATGCATATTGAAAATAAAGACGATTTAATGCAAATTTTATTTTTGAAGATGTTGCCATATTGCATAAGCCTTTATTGTACGGTAGCTCCAGCCAAAATGCAGCCCTGTATTTGAAAGGGTGGCAACGCCGCAAAGCATCCAAAACCAAGCTGAATTTGTTTTTTATTTCTTGCTGCCGTAATTTAAAGAATGCAATTAATTGTAAATTGATAATTCCCGTCATGTGAACAGTGTTTGTGTCGTGCCAAGTAATAATAAACATTGTGCTTGTGACTCGCTGGCAAATGGAGTGTTTATCCATTTAAGCATTTTCCACCCTTGTGGTTTGGGGTACAACTCAAATTTATGCCGATGTGAATTTAAAATGTGATATATGGTTACTGTAAGTCGTAAACTATGTTTTTCCCAGCATCCGTGAGTATATGCCACCATCTACGTAGGTTCTACGGTTCTCTGTCTGCAAATAAACTGCTTAAAGCCAAAAACCTAAACTAAATGTTGTTTTATTTCGCCGTGCAGCCTAACTTAGCGCTTAAGCCATCCACTAGATTAGTTGTAGTCTAACTTAATATTGCTATTCACGCTAAACTCACCTCTCCGTCTTCTTATCGTCCTCTCGCGTTCGGAAATCTTTGGACAACCAGGAGACGAAGATATTAGGTTCATTAGGAGTCAGAAGAAGAACGCCCAGCTGGTGTTCCGGGACTACATATACAACAAGAAGCTAACCCAGGCTAATGGACAAACGACCTGGCGCTGTGCAGATGTCCTCAAGCTGCGCTGCAAGGCGGTGGTCATCACAAAGAATGGCAGCTTCATCGATGCCCGGCGGCAGCACAACCACCAGTCACATGCCTCGCGTATCGGACAACGGCAGCTGTACAAAGTCGAAGAGGAGCTGGAGGAGTACATCGAGATATGCACGTCGAACCCAAAGATCTCGCAGTATCTGGGCAGCAGTAACATCAGCATCATGACCGCCAAGGACGGCAAGGAGTGCAAACTGTTTCTGCCCGCTTCCGAGGCCACAGAGATTGAAATGCAGGCGCTGGTAGATGCCGCAGAGGCCGAGGTCGAAGAGGAAGAGGAGGACGAGGCGGAGGTCCGGCGTACACTTCAACGCGACCGTGAGCGAGACGCCAGGTGGCAGGAGGAGGAGGACAAGCGACGAGGAGTTCTAAGGATCAAGCATCTATCTAGCAACTAAGTTTGTATTTATCTCGAACTGTGGAATGGGTCGATTTGTTGGCCACGGATCCATTATCAGGTTATATGTAATATATCTATTATGAAATCTGAGAAGAGCCAGAACTGCCTATTCTCGAAGTCTGCGTAAGTCATAAAAATATAAGAAATTGGCATCTTTGCATCTAAACCCTAAGCTTATTTATTTATAGCCCAATATTGCCATAATAATTGAGGTTTTTCTGTAGGATTTTCATAAAATCCTTTAGATAGTCGATGTCCAACACTTCGGCCCTTCCAATTTGAATATATGTTAGTTTAAGCATACTTTTCTTATATTGTAAACGCATTCGTCTGTTTAAAATTTTAATAAATGAGACCAAATAAAAGGAAATCTCGATGGTCAGTAGGATTTACTGTATATCTTTCGATGCTCCCATATACTGTATACTACTTTTACTAACCAAAGATTCAACTTTTATATTCCGTAGATGGCAACGAGCTGGTCTTCATCGAGAGCCCCTGGTCGACGCCTTGCCTGGTGCTTAATGGGTATATGTACAACTGCCACAGTCGGAAGAGCAACAAACAATATTGGCGGTGTCACAACTACTCGAAGAAAGTTCACGAGATGCGCTGCCGGTCACGGTGCGTACTGGAGAACGGTCGGCTAAAAAGTGTGACTGGCGGGCTGCACAATCACCAGCCGCACACGGACAAGATCGAAAAGATTGTGCAGCGGAACAAGCTGGCAGCCGTTGGTTGCTTAGGGCGTAAGCACTCCAGGACGCACAGTTTTGTTCAAGAGCCTAAGACGGAAGAAGAGGAGGAGGAAGAGTACAACGAGGAGGAGCAGCCACAGCTGGTCAGCAGTGAAGCAGCTTCATTACACCTTACAGACCACGAACTAATGCACGCCTCCCTGATGCTCGTTCCAGAATAGTGGCCCAAAATCAGTACACCTGGTCTCCGTAGTGCAATCAATGTAGTTAAATAAGTGACAGTGACGGGAGGTACATAGAAACATATCTGTTTATTACGGCTCAAAAGCTCATCATCTATAAATCGATTACTTGGAAGTTATTGTGTAAATATAGTCTGTAAACCTCTACTTTTAGTTTAACACTAAGTAACTTGATACCTACTACCATAGCTTAGTAAATATTTTCCAGATACAATTAGTACCTCCCTCATCACTACAGTGATTTAAGTAAAATAAACATGTAAACTTAATGTCAGTTTGCTCAGTCTCTGAACGCCTTGCTGTGCCAAAGTGTAAGTTTGATTGCTAATTTTATATGTAATTAATCAAAGTTTTCTCTCATTTTCAGTACTCACCTACGACGATCGAGGGAAACTGGTACACGATGGCTACACATATAGCTGCCATACGCGGAACACCGAGAAATTGCTGGCCTTCTGGCGATGCACAATGTACAAAAAACGGCGTTGCACCGCGGCTCTGACCACGCATATGAAAACAATTAAGTCTGTCCGAGGTTTTCACAATCACGAGCCTCCTGAACGCCTAAAGACATTTATACCCAGAGTGGTAAATTGGCAGTGTCAGGTTGGGGAAAAAAATTAAATAGTAAGGGTTTCTTAAAGATTTGATTTCTGATTCACACAAAGTCTATAATGCATTTTATGATTCCACTTTCAGATAATTGATTTTTCCGTCCACACAAATTACGAGATTAAATAAACCATTCAAGACTTATTAAAATCTTAAAAGAGTACAAGTTTTTTATTTCATTTATTGTAGATATTCAATTCTTTCAAATTTGCAATTTTCTAATTGTTGTTTATTTTCTATTGCAGTCATTATAAAAACTGTTAAAATATCCCGACCGATTTACCGGATGTCTGAAGAAGTCAAAAAAGTGGACCACCTGCCACAGAAGAAATTAAACTTAAAAAATCCCGACAACATCATACGCACCTCGTCTAATCGGCACAGTTATGTTTCTGTGGGTATACCACGGATGAAGGGCAAGTGTGTTAATTGTCTAAAAAAGGGAAAATTGAATATGCGTAAGGTCACGACCTTGTGTGACACTTGCCCTGGCGCCAATTGGATGTGTAACATATGCTTTGATGAGCTGCATCCTTAATATCAATTGATTGTCCTATCCGAAACCTCATTTTAGAAAGCGTGTCGGAACATTTTATATTCATTTCATTATTATTTCTAAGCAAATTTATTCTTTTTCTCTTCGTTAATAATAATAATAATTTTAAAACCAAATAAATCACACTTTATATTTTAACTTTTTTACATTTCCTAAATTGTTCACAGTCGCTAAAGCGAAAAGAAATGTAAGTCCTGTCCTTTGCTTTGAAGAAATACATATATGCTAAAAAAAGGAGGAGCAGAATGTAGTTTTTGTAACTTAAGTTCACTTCGGATTTTTTAAAATTATTTTTATTTAATTAAGAGAATAACTCTCAAATTTAATATCCATACATATAATTTGCTTCTCATATACATGTGTAGAAATATATATTTATATGGCAGATTTTAAAATTAACGTTTGCTTTTGTTAACTAATTTCAAAAGATTTTAATTTAAAACACAATAAAGAAAGAAAAAAAAGTCATATTGAACCGAATACGAATATGTAGATGAAAGCATATTTATAAATTTACGTTTTAGAAACAGGCAAACCTGCAAGGCTGTCGTAATTCTGATCAGACTTGGCTCTGGAAGTCACTACTATATTTTTTGCAACTGTAAGACAACTCTTATTTCTATTTTTTAACCTTTTTACGGAGACGTCCTCGGTCCTTTTTCGCCGACGTCAGTTCGTGGTTATGAGGTGCATGCAGCACTTCAAGGCGATCGTTTTTTGTGGTACGAATTCGGGCCCGGCACTTCGTGGTGGAGCGCGTGGCACAGATCCACTTGGTACCGCGACCGTTCTCCATAAACTTGACGAAGCTGTGACCGCCGTAATTGAGCTTGATCGATTCCCGCTGGCCCTTGGTGAAGTAAAACGAGGCATCGGTGTCTGCAAGGATAAAAAAGCATAGGAACCGGATCATTACTACAGTGTTTTACACATTACAATTGCACAAAGGGACGCGATGAGGCATTAGTTAACTACAGATTCATATAAAGTGCACTGTTAAGGCTTAATTTTATTGGATTTACACACATATATATAATTAAAATGTATATAAAGTGAATTGTATAATTTAGTTTGTCCGTCTCCTACAAACTCAAGTTAAAACCTATATTTACGCACAAGTAAGAGATGGGAGCGTGGTCGCCCAAAAGACAAACTAGTAATAATTCTCATTTGATAAATGACTAAATAATATGAACAATTTTTAAGTTCACATTTAAATTAGTTTAGTATGTTTTTAGGCTACTTAAAGTTCTCAAAATGTACATTTTTGTCTGAGGTGTCTAAGAAAAGTAAATGTATTCTATAAACTATAATCCACTCCGACAATTGTTAATGAAATTAGATGACCACCAATCCGGATGAGGTGGCGGGCATCACTTCCGACGACTGACCACTCGGACGCCGCCCACAATGCCCGTGACATCCGCCACTATCTCCTCGTACTTCAGGTGCATTCCCAACTCGCTGACGTCGATAGTGGCTGGTGATTCATCCTCCAGGGCTGTGGTCAGCATGGCATCGCTAGCTAGCTGGATCTCCTGCTGATGCTGTTGCTGCCTGGCCGACGCTGTGGTGTCTACCTTTACCACTACCGGTGGTGGTACTCGGCGCACTCTCTTCTTGCGGCGGACAATCTCCTCGTGCGTGTGGAATCGATTCAAGGGGCAGACAACGTCGTTGATAGTGAATACACGGGACCGACACTTTTGATTCCACCACTGATTGCATCTCCAGAATCGCTTCTCCTCGCCCGTCGATAGCTTCAGGGTCTTCTCGAAGATGAACGGCTGGCCGCCGTATATAAGTTGCATGCGTCCCCGCGATGTGGCCGAGTAGATGGCTACGCTGCTTTCTGTGGACAGGAAAGAGAAGTGGAATTGGAATTAGTGGCAAGTCGCTGGCTAAACTATTCACTACGTCTACAGATCATAGTCGGTCAGTTGAATGCTGTTTGCCAAGTCACAAGGCGCAATTATATTTAATCAAAGCTTAAAATCTATTCATACTGCCTACGAAGGCGTTTAGAAGGAGAATGGTTATGCTCAGGTTTGGACAGGAACACCTTGAAGTTTCCATTTGGCAGCCTGGTGGTGGACAACCGAGCATTACACGGCTCGTGACCAATGCGTCGATGGCGACAGTTCCAATAGGTGGTGCAGCCGTGTCTATTATTCTTGGCATAGGCGTACCAATCATACATCAACTGTACGGACTTCCTTTGCCCCGAATGCAATAGATCTTCGGGATGAAATCCATTTGCTTTCCGTGTGCATTGTATACCGACTCCACTGCCAGATCACTCCCCGTGACAAAAAGTTCTGTAAAGAAAAAGAATGAATTACGAAATAATATTAGTTAAGAGAATGAAATTTTATCGTTAATTTGTCGAAATAAAAAGCCGAGACTGCACGCTGAATAAAGAATTTATTGTATTAACATAAGAAGGCTTACAGTGTCAGCGATAAGATGTGTAAAATATTTATTTCAGATATAATTTACTGAAAACTGTGCCTTCTTTAGGTAAAAAATAAAATAAAAGAAATCTTCCTTCAATTTTCTAATCTAAATTAAGTCAGATCTAATAGAACTATTTAAACGAAATATTTTGTGATTTTTTGCAATAATTCATTAATTGTTATTAAAAGTATGTAAGTAAAGACCAACGCATGGAGAATAACTGTAATCCGTTTGGGCAGAAAGCAAAAGCAAAGGAGTCTTCAGTCAATTATTATCTGTTCAGATAATATTTCTTCTGATGATAGCTATTCAATTAATATCTAAAAATCACTAAATATTGAGTTGATAACCTTAAAGCAGACTAGTTTCAATACACCTAATACTTTAAATATTTTAGTTTTAAGTTAATCTTAGTCCAAATAAGTAATTCAGTCAATAGAGATTACTTGCTCTGCATCTTCATGGGTCTGATGGACACGCATAACGGATTCCTTTCTAAGCATGGCTGCTTCTTCGTCTTTTGGGTGTTTGTGTACATCGAGGGATGAGTGTGCAGGTTGCTGGTGACGTGAATTATATCACCGCCAAGGGTAAGCCTTGTGACCAAGCGAGCGCGGCATTTGGCCTTGTGATACATCGAACACTTCCAGTCTCTGCTCTTCTGGCCCTGCCTCAACTTTTCGTTGGGTGTGTAGGTATTACCCTCGTAATACACGAGATCGGTGCCTCGATTTGAGCGTACATATTGGGCCAATTTCGTTGTATCTGCAAGAAATAAATTTCGGTGGAGTTATTTGGTGTTTAGCAAATACCTTTTTTAATGTTAAGATGTAATGGTATTATTTCTTAGTTGAATTATAGTGAAAAGCAAGCGAACATTTTGAAACTCAAACATTTTTTAGTTTATTCCTCGAAATAGCTGGTTTCTCCTTTCTTTGACATCCGTCTTCTCGCCGCATCGTTTTGACAGTGATTGTGGCCTTCGTGTCTCATCCGTACTTTGTTTGTAATCTTATTTAAAATAGCTCTGGCCCGGCAATTCTTACGGAAGTTGGCGCACTTCAAATAGGTCCGATGCACATGAGTGGCTCCGATCACAAAGCGGTAGCCGTCGATAACCATAAATCCGTTTTGCATAAAAATATGGGCCTGCAGCATTGGACCTGCTGAAGAAAAGAGCGGGAGAATTAGAATAATAAGACAATGGAAAATTCATTTACTATTACATTAATAATTTATGATCTTGCTTAAGAAACGGTTTTATTTCTACTTGTTGTTGTGTTCTATAATAAGTTTGCCATAACCTAGCTTAGTTAGAAATAAAATATATTCTTAAGTATACAAAAGCGAAATGTTTCTAGACTAACAATTGGTAAATCCGAACTTGAAGTTCTTCTTCAGCTACGGCGGCTTCTTTTGCTCGAAATACCACTTCGCCATCTGGGTCGATGCAGCTTAAAAGCATCTGCTGGGTGGTTGTGGTGGCGATGGCTCAGCTTGATGCCGCTGGTATTGGAATTGGTGACGCATCTGGCCGGGCAGCGAAGCGCAATGTTGCTGTTTTTCGAGCAGACCCAGTTGATGCTGTTCCTGTACTTGCGTTCAACGGTGTACATGTGACCGTCGTAGATTAGATTCTGGCCTCCGCGACGGTTGGCCACCATTCGATACCCGGAGACAGCTGCAAGGATGAAGGGAATTTAGTATTGGGGATCTTGCTTACTTGTTGCGAAAGACACTACAGAAGCTACAACTGCAGGTGAAAGGTGGTGTGACTTTGCTTCAGTTCAAAGTTAATAGATTTATTCGACTAAATGGCACAGGTAATTCGTAATTTAGGGATGATTGTGGTAGCCGCGCAGGGCCGAGATCTGGTCGGATTTGGTCACCACGCGGGCGGAGCACTTGGTGTACTTGCAACGCAGCTTGACGCACTCCCAGTAGCAGACGTCCCTGATCCGCCGATTGAGAGTGAAGGGTTTGCCGTCAATGGTAAGCAGGTTGTTGCCGCGATTGCTTTTCGTAAAGCACACATCCAAGTGGTCATAATTCAGCTTCCGGGAGCCGCCAGGCCTTTTCTTCGCCACCGGCAGTGATGGCTGTGCCTTTAATTTATGCTCCTCCAGCTCTGCAAGACAGAATTTGGAGTGGGAGGATGTGTATATTGATTAGACAGCTCCGCATAGCTCGATAGCCCAGGTTTATCCGCCAAATAATTTCCCCGCACCGTTGTTGTTTTTGTTGTGGACACAACACTTTATTGACATGGAATTGACATTGTTTTTTTATTGCAATTTTGATATTTTACCATTTGTACACAATATTTGCATAGAAAGAAATTTATGTAGGCGTCGCTTGTTTTTTTTTCGCCTTTATCACACAACACTGTTTAGCGCGGCATTTTTGCCGTGTGGGTTTTCTGGCGCCATAAAGCCAATATATTTCACTACTGGTGCTCGTTTTCACTTCTTTAATATCACTTATTAATACACAATTATTAACCATTTTCTGCCGTTCACTTTTGCTTTATTTTTTTTTCACAATTGTGGCATTTTCACAGAGTTGCCGGATCGTTCAAGTCCCAGCCAGGGTTACTAAGTACAGTGCGTACTGGTATAGCGAAAGGTTTCTCTCCCGCAACAGGTTACTTTTAAATACAACATCTTCAACATAAACTATATTATTTTTAAAAATATCGTTTTGTTATAAACAATTTCCATGAACTTATTAAAATGGGTAATAAAAGGTAATACTATTTCAATAAGCTGTAACCCTCAAGCCAAGTCGTACTGTGCTCGAAGGTGTCATTGCAACCCTGGGCGCTGCCATTATTTTTTTACCTTTTGTGACTCGTGGGCGTGCTTAGATAAATAATTTGTGCTTTATTCCGAAAAATAGCGCGATGGATGTGATAAATATTAAGGATTACTGTTGTAGCTCCCTGCCTGCCTGAAATGTGTTGCAAGTGCAGTTTTAACTTATAAAATGAACCACAATAAAGTCCGATACAAGCACCGCATGAACTGTGTTTTATTTTGTTTATGTTTTCTGTTGATACCAAAAATCTGAGTTTTAACGAGTATTTGTTTTTCCCATGATGTGTCATTGCAGAAACACCAAAAAAGGACCCTGAAGTCATCGCGAAGCCAGCGGAAAATAACAAGGAAACCGCACCAATAACAACCACAACAAATAGTGTGGAAAAACCCAAAAAGGATGCGGATGCTATTCCCTTGTACGATGGCAGTCGCGTCTATGTATCCAAAGTGGCGCTAGCCAGGGCCTACATACCCATGCCGGCCATATATACGTCTCGGGTAATGGACCTGGTGATTGGCAAGGAGACGCTGGCAAAGATTGCTCGGGGCGAGGAGCTGCCAGACAAGGAGCTGCTGCAGGCTATCATAAGTACATTGCTGAACGTGATCTTTATACAAAAACATGATTTCTACATTGGGGACTCGTTCATCTCTTTGCAGCTCACGTGTGCAAGGTCTTTGCCATTCGCGGGGACCAATTGACCTCGTCAGTGGTGCAGGAGTTCATCAACCACAAGCTCTCGACACTTAAGGCGCCGGTGATCAAGACGGGGCCGTAATTAAAAGAGCCAATAGTTGCCAAATTGTTTGTTGCGTTTGTAATTTGAAATAAATACGAGTAACTAGAAAATGTACCTCCTAGCTCTTATGTGGAGTAGCTCGTAATCTTGGGACAAGCTCTCAAAGACGACCCAAAACTAATGACTATAAACTTGCTCTCCTTTGATTTCAGGTATCATTCAGTCGCTGAAGGCTCTCCTGGAGGATAAGAACACCAGCATCCAGTACACAACCACGCAGCGGGGACGGGTGATGCTGGTATACGAGGGCTACCGGTACGTGGTGAACCGCCAGAGCCAGAAGAATGTATTCTGGCGGTGCTCACGGTATGTGAAGCATAGTTGCCGAGCCACATTAGCCACCTCCAAGGTACAGGATGTCTACCTGCGTATCTCTGGCGCTCCGCACACTCACGGCCCGGAGATTACCTCGATAGATCTCACGGCGGACTTGCTAGACGAGTTCTCGGATCTCCAGTAGGCTCGCCGCCAAAAGCAAATTTTATCATATAATCCCTAGACTACGTCTATAGCTTTAACAAAATAAATTAAACTTAATGTGTATGAAATATGTAGTTATGTGTGTTCGTTTCGTGCCTACTTTAGTTCTTAAGCTCTCACTAAATGTTATACTAATGTCATGTTTCTATGTAATCTTTCAGTTGAAGTCAAGATGGAGGAGCAATCGCCCACGCCCGGAATGCCCACAGATGCTGCTGTTGCCGCTTTGGCCGTCACATATCTGAACGATGACGAATCATTCCGTAAACCCTTTTCCCTGCCCAAGATTTTGGACGGTAAGTTCTATAAGAACATCCAACCGAACCAAAAGACGCCCGGCGCCATCCAGGCCACTTGCACCACCTGCTATGGCCTCATCTCGGGCACAACCAAATCAACGGGGAACTTCCTGAGCCATATCAAGAGGCGCCACAAGGAGCTCCTGCCACTGTGCCAGCTGTATTGCCAGGCTAAGGCTAATGGCAACGTTCCAGCTGCGATAAAACATCCCATACTCAACACGAACCCGGTGGTCACATCAACTACTCCGACGTTGGATATGATGACGCAGGTTACGCAGATGCCACCGCCAACTTACGCCACAACAACCACCCATTTGGCCATGCCGGTGACTGTACCTGTTCCCGTATCCATGTCCCTGGCGATGCCCTTGTCACTGCCAAGCGTGCAGACGGCGCCACAGATGATGGCGCTAATGCAGCAGCACCAAGCCCACGGAGCGGTTTTCATCAGCAAGGATTACTAGCGCAACCTCTGGGGTTGGGGTCATCAATGTCTGTGGTTTTGATCAAGTTTTTGAACTAATGTCGATGTAGAGTGTACCTATACCAAGGTGATGTTCGATTTGTGGTGTCTATAGCTCAGATCTTAAAGTCTCAATTTTATATGCAATTTCCATGACGTTTTATGTGTAATTTCGTATTACACTCCCAACAAACATTATTTTAGTTTCATTATATGTATATACGAGCTTGCTGCCATATTATAAAAATGGATATGAGGACTGCCCTAAAGATACTTAATTTAAAAAGGGCAAGAAAGTAAGGTACCCTTAATGAGTACGTTTCGGTTTTGTTTTGGTCTTTATAATAGGTATGTGTTGTACCCACTGCAAATCGACTCACCTAGACTTAAGCTAAGTGCAACGTAATGTAAGTCCTGATAGGTTTAAAGCATTTTTCATAATACAAAATAAATCATCTTGGAAAAACCTTGTATGCTGACTTTACGCATTTAAGCCATATACAGAGATGTAATCCGCATAATTTATAAATCCCCATTTCTGATGTAGTTGCTTTGTTTTCTCTTCTTTCAGTTCGACGCCGGTACTCAAAGAAAGCCATGCAGTATGACGGACCAGCCGAGTTTAATCTGGCGGCCCATAGACGTCCCAAGCTCATCATAGCCAATGAACAGTTCATTGTGCATCGGATCCTGGGCAAGGATAACTTGATCGGATCCTGGCGCTGTATGTACCATCACAAGGGATGCAAGGCCCGTGCCTCTACCTTCATGGTGGGCAACGAGGTGAAATATCGAAGCACTTGCTCCTCGCACAACCACAAAAATGTCAGGTGCAAGCTGGCAAGCCTGAAGATGCCATGGATTCCATCCGAATAGTTTCAAACTGTCGGTGTTAATGGTTGTATCTTGAAATCTCTTTAAGGGAATGTGAGACGATCTCAGAATATTCAAACTCGTAGTTGCTCAGTGTACCACCAAGCTTCATAAAAATATAATTAAATTAGCAATACTTAGACATTTCAAAAAGTAGTTAATTCTGGAATAATAAGAGAAATATAGGTAACATTGCTGAACTATCAAAACTCTAAGCAGTTTGATCTTAGAAATTAAATAAATGTAACAAACTAAGTTAACTTAATTGTTGGCATATATGATACAGGCATTAGTGTTGCTTAGAAGGTTAATACTACAAAAAATGCATAATCTAAAACAGAAATATGTTAACATCAATGCTTCAATAAAAGATTATGATACCTAATGGATAATGAAAATGATGCCAGGTATTTGTAGAAGTTTTATGACGCTAGGTTATTTCGATTGAATGTTCATATGATTTTATTAAAAGTTCCTAATTTGTATCCCATTGCCATAAACAGAATAAATTATACAATCCGTGGGAAATCATGTGATTTACAGGACTTGTATTGAGAAGCCCCAGGTAGGGTACTTACCCATCCTAACTGGGCTCGGGACACTCAGTCTATTTTGACATATACTTTACGCAAACAATAGATTTAGCTTAAAAAATATAAATTTAAGTCGGATGAAAGGGGAATGGCTAAGAAGCGGTAGACGGCTACATCCTAGGCTGCGGGTCCAGGTTAGCCTCGGTGGACTCTTGCTTCCAGGAGCTTTGTATTCTGTCGGCTGGCGTGAGGGAGCTCAGCTTTTTGTGGATCAGCATGCCAGCAGCCTTGGCTGACTCAATGCGCCTGTTGTCGCCAATGTGATTGTGCACATCTTTTGGAATTGTAGAAAAATACAAGCTATTAGCTTACAAAAAGAAAATTACTTTCGGAGCACTGACCATTGGTCACATAGAGATCATCGCCGATGGTTTTCAGGCGACTGCGGCATTTGACCGATCGGTTTTGGACACACTCCCAGTAGAGAATGTTGTTGCTCTTGCCGAAGAACTTAAGATTGGAGCGGTAGATGAAGTTGTTGATGGTCAGCAAAGTGCCGCCCTTGCGGCTTATCAGGAACATCTGCGGGCCACAGTTCCGAACATGTTGAGTGACTGAAAAAATACGGAAAGATAATGGTTATTTATCGGTCGATCATACTGGGGTAACATATTAATATCGCTGAGCTCGTTTAGCGCTTACGTGGTAAGTGTTAACTGTTTTTCTCTGGATTTATTCTCATCATTTTATTAGGAAAAGCTTAACTATTGTATGTATGTACGTGAATTGATGTAAAAGTATATAAATTGGAAACCCAATTGAAGAATAAAGAAAAATATATGTATAATTGTTGGCGCTTAGGCACTATCGGTGTCACTTCTTCTTGTTCTGCAAAGCCTTCTGCAGGCGTCGCTTGATCTTCTCGCGGAAATCATTCGGATCCACCTCTGCGGCCGGCTCTCTAGCAGGGGACTTCTCCTCGGCCACCGCCGACGATTCGTCTAGCTCGAGTTCGTCGATCTCCTGAATCTCAAACTCTTCGATTTCCTCCTCGGGTTCGGCTTCAGGCTCAGATTCCTCCAGCTTAGCTTTGTTTCTAATCATTGGCTTTCGATCCCTGCTGGTGTCCATCGTTGCAATGGCCCCGGATTCCCCAGGCATGAACTGCGAAGGCAGGCAGCTCTTGTCGCTGGCCTGCATGAAGTGCATGTGCTCGCCATCGTAGGGGAACACCCGCTTCTGGTCGCACACCACCCGCACCTTGCACTCCTCACCGTGCTCGCGGTAGCAGCACTGGAACACCGAGAAGTCCGCCTTGCGGAACGAGAACTTGAACAAGTGGCCGTCGAAGATCAGCTTGACACCGCCTGTGTGGGGAGAGTAGAGCAACCAGAACCAATTAGATTAGACACCAGCAACAGGTGCAGCAACAGCAATTGGATTCCTCCAACTTACCCTTGGTGGTGGAGGCGTACACCGCCGGTTCGCTGTTCGCCTCGTTCTCGGTGGCCGCCCGCAATTTGTCCAGAAGCTTCGGCTTCGGTGTCGCATCTTCAACTTTTGTCTTGGGTCTGCCGCGTTTTCGCGGAGGCACTGCGATCGCTGCCGATGCGGATGTGGCGGCTGTGGAATGGAGAAAGAAGTGCAACAGGTTAAAGCATCAATGTCAAACTGAGTCGCCTTGAGCGAAAACGAAAATAAAACAACTGAAAAGCGTTTCTGGCCGGTCTTGCAGCCGTTTATTGGTTTATAAGCAGGTCTAAATCAAATAAGATTAAAATTAAAATAGTAAATTGTTGAAAAACACGACAGAGTGGCCAGACTAAGGTAGGCCAGAGTGCTGCCAGACTGCGAACTTTCAGACCGGTCACTGGTTTCCTTCCAATTTCCGTGGCTAATAACCATGACCAACGAACAAAATCTAAACGGTGCTCTTTTTTCAAGTCCCCATATAAATCACGTGAAAAGCGAGAAAAAACATAAAATGTACAGTTGCAGCGTAGATGCACAGCGTTGCCGGACTGGGCGCGGCCTAATCGATTGTATATTCGATACCACTGCGCCTTACAGCACCTTTTGCACGCCATCTTTGTTGTAGTTGTTCTCACATTTTTCGCCGTGGAAATTAAACTGTTTTTTTGCAAACAAATTGTGGTCAAACGTAAATAACATAATAAAAAGTGAAGTATACAATATATACAACATGAAATGTGCAGTGTTTAGTGTCTGTAAGCCATACCGCTCGCGTTTTTGTGTGTGTCTCGGTTGTAAGTGGGTGTACAGCGAGGTGGCATCAGTGTTGTTATTGTTGGCGTCGCTCAACAGAAGAATCCCTCCAAAAAAGGGAAAATTAGTGGTTTTTTAGTGAATAAAATGTTATTGTGTTATTTAGCAAAGTGAAAATGCACCACAGCTGGTCTGTAATCAACCAATAAAGTACCGATTGTGGGTGAGTTAGCTAACACAGCTTAAGTTACACTAGTCAGAATACATAAACAAGTAAATAATTTACATAAATTAAGGCTCGTGTAAGTTTTAATTCATAATCTAGAGTATATCAAGTATATCCTGCAATAAATCGTTCGTTCAGCACCGCTTCAGTCCCTGTGTTTTTCTGGGTTGGGCCTACTAAGATCCCCAGTTGACCACCAGAGGCAACACATCCAGTAATGCTCCACCTCCACCATTGCAGGCCAATACATCGGGGACGTTTCCCGCGGTGTGTGGATCGAGAAGCACGACTACTTCTTTCTGCGCAACCAGAAGCAGGGCTTCAACCTGGTCTTTAATGGATACATGTACAAGAAGGAGGCCAGCTTCCGGTCCACCGTCAACTGGATCTGTTCCGATGGCAATGGCAAGCGGCTGACCGAGAACAAGTGCTCCGCGCGGGCCATCACCAAGTTCGATGGCGGTATTAAGCTCGGCAAGAAGCCCCACAATCATCCGCCGCGATTCCTGGGCACCAATGTGCCGGCCAAGCTCCTGCCCAAAGTGGCCTTCTGTCCGCAATATTAAGAAAAAAAAAAAAATAGAATAGAGAGAATTAGCCGAACAGAAACCGAAATGATCTTTGTAGTAGACACTTTAGTTGCATGATGCGCTCATAGGCTAAGAGATCATCTACCGCATGTATCACCCTCCCATCTCATCACGTATGTAACTCTCTAATCTCCAGCTAAAAAAACGCATAATGGCGTCAGGTTCAAACGGACGGCCCAGGGCGAGTTCCTGATGGTCAACGGGAGATCGTACAAGAAAACGCGTGCCATGCAGTACCGCACATACTACCACTGCTTGACCCGCAACTGCCGGGCCTTCTACGTCCTGGTGGAGCTCAGCAAGCGGCCACGTCTCACCAAGCATCACGACCACGCCATCTTCTGTCCTCAGTGCCCTCCCTAGCGGGTGTGCGTGTAGCTATAATAGTCCACGAAATCATATGTGTACAATATATATATCGAGAACCATGCAAGCATTCCAAGTGTTTTATTTACGTTTAACTCCGAGGCGGCCCTATTGCAATAATAATCCAACCAGTCAGCCAGCCATCTTCCAACTAACAAGGAACCTTCTCCATATCTTATCGGTCTCATTGTAGCCAAGTTCGACTATCAGATCAGCGTGGACTTGGGCGAGGCCACCATGCAGCTGGCCAGCGGCTCGTCCGTGGGCGTCAACAGTAGCTCGCCATTCTTCATCGTCAGCAAGTATGGTACGAAGCAAATAATGCTCAAGCAGCACACTTTCAATCGCCACATCTGCCGGGACGATGTCACCTACTGGCGCTGTAGTCAGGTGAGTGGATGATATATATTTCATAAAACAAAACATAAATAAGGCTGCATTAATCGCGAAATTTAAATAAACTTTGAGCCCGCTTACGTAAACTAAACATTCCTTTTATTTTCTTATCTTGTACCTTTAAAAAATTACTTAAAAATTATTGACCAGTTAATTTGTGACCTCGATAATTGGAAAAATATTAATAAGACAATAAAAAGACTAAGCTAATCAAGAAAGTCCTTTGGTCCAACAGATCCTGAGTAAATACACTTTATAATTTATGTACTAAACACTTGGATGTTTTGATGGATCGTATTAATCTCAAAGCCTTTCAAAAATATATCTTTTAGTTCGCCGTCTTGCGTTGTCGGGCACGGCTTAAAACCAAACAGGACACCTTGACCATCCTGAACAGCGAACACAACCACGAGGTCATCTTGAAGGCGCGCAAGTACGGCTCTCTGAAGCGCCAGCGGGCTGAGGCAGAGGCGGCGTCCCGGGCAGAGCGTCGGCAGAATCTATCTCACGCTGATCCGCTCAGTTCACCAACGGCACATTAAACTCTCTAGTCCTAAGTCTCTCTGTAAATTTTAATGAAACTGACTCAATAAAATTAAATTTAGCTAAGTTGACGGTGTCCGCTGCGTACGTTTGCCTGATAACTATAATACTTTATGCTCTACCTTCGGCCAGGACATATCACTAATCGATTTTTAACTTTATATTCACAGATTCCGTCGCATACTACTCGTACATCACGGGCTTCCGGGGGAGTCGAAAGCTGAAGATTGGAGAGTTCACCTTTACCCGAAACAAGGCCACCGGATCGAAGACATACTGGTCGTGCGCCCGGGCAGGAGCTCACAAGTGCAAGGCCCGTGTGGTGACCGTGCAGGACCACGATGTGACCATAAAGTGCGGCCAGCACAACCATCCGCCCTACTAACGTAGCCACCCCAGCCATAGAAACCAACGTGTAAGTCCACACGCACACTGGCTGCTGAATACTGATCTTACTCATAATTCCAGAGCAAATCAGTGTGCTTGTGGCCTAATAGCGGCGCACTTAGATTTAATTACTATTTATTAGAAAATATAAAGAACGTGTAAAAAGCAATCCGGTTGTTTCTGTTTTTATCGGTTGTTGCATTTATTTCAAACCTTTAATGATTATTAAGGTTCTAAAACTAATTGTGTCGTTGCTTTTTACAGAATATTCGGATCTGGACGACGCTGAAGGAGCAATCAGACACAGCCTACTAACCTTCACAACAGGACAACGAGGTTGCAAGCTACTGGCATTTAATGGCCACAACTATGTTCGAAATCGACGTAGTGGCCTTAAAACCTATTGGATATGCTCCAAGAAGGTATGTGTAAAAATAACATTTTAATGAATTTTATTTATAAAAAAATGCTGAATTAAAGTAAAGTATTCAGTAGTCGAAAATGTTTACCATAAGAGCTATCTATTCTTTTATTAAGATAAATGATGTCCTCTTCGTATTGTCGAACATTTAAGCTTTTCTTAAGTTTTGGTACACTTATGTATATAAATGTTATTTATTAGTAATGCCGAGTGCCAACTGCCCAGAGTATTTATTATGAAAAGTCGTTATCTTTGTTTTATACAAACTTAAAGTTAAAATATTCGATATTATCGAAAGCTGCAAAAATTTTAATATAGTTTATAACCTTCTCCAATTTTATTGCTCCCATAAATCAATAAGAATATTAATTTAGGGCTCATTGTTTACTATCATCTTTATATAATTAACATGCTTAGACTTTTTAACTATTTTTGTTTGCAGGGCAGCACTAAATGCAATGCTCGCGTTGTCACTAATGTCGTTGATGGAGTACATAAGATTG